GAAGGGCCCGGCTCCTGCGCAGACCGAGGCCAGCGAACAATAGCGCTATGTTGCCGCCCGCCGGGCAGGCTGTCCTGGCCGCACCGTGGCAGCCGAAGGCGGGGAAACCGGGTGGCGCTTTTTTATAGTCACAAATATAAAATCCGGGCTTTCTCCCCTTTCGTTCGTCCCCTGCTCCAATGCCAATAGAAAGCAGATAAATTTATGAAGGGCGAGCTAAGAGAATAATTACAGGGTAAAGGCCGTTAAATTTTATTCCCAGTCCCAAAGGCAAAACCTGCCATTTTATTGCAAACATCTGGAAGGACCGGGAGGTGGGCACGCTGCTAGTTTAAAATAAAAACAAAAGATTTTATTTCGCGAAAACAAAAAAACATCATTAAAGGCCCTTTCGCCCCCACGGACTTTCATTTTTAAAGTGTGAGAGGGTGGTTGAATAGTCAACGACACGACGGTCTCCCAGCTCTTGGGGACTCGAAAGAATAGCGGCATCTCAAGGCGACAGGATTGGGCCCTCGATGCTTCCGAGGAACTGGCAATTGGGCAAGCATTTCCAGAAATGGACTCCTTCCTACCCTCCCCCGCTCAAGGGCTCCAAGACAGTTATGTCTCCCCATTTCGTGCTCTTTTTGTTGCTTTTGGGGGCACCAATTTGGGAAGAGAAGGTAAAAAGGGGAATGTCTGCCTTACATTCCTGGAAGATTCAATCACAGGAATAATAAAACCTCTCCTCTGTCCAGTCCCGAACAGATTATCTTTCCTGCTTTGGTTAGTCGTAAAGTATCTAGGACTCTTTCAGTCTGCAACTGAGGCAGGAGGCTATTTAACTTGCCCAACGTCAGTTTGGCCTCAATGGACCTGCTTACCAGGCTCCACCTAGCCTTGGAGTTTCTGGTGGCTCCCCAAACCCCATAGTCTCCTCATAACGTTTTACACCTGCCTCCACCGTGAGAATTCACTCAATTCCCACCCCCACAGGGTGTCCTGCCCACATGTTCAGGGGCAGCCTAACCTGCTCCAATCCATAACCACTGTATTTTTAACTTTGTTTTCAATTACCCACTCAAAACTCCAAAATCAAAGGCAGCTTTTATTTTTATTGTTATTTCAGCAATAATGGTGGTATTTAGGGTGGTATTGGGATGAGGAAATGGGAAGGAAGGACAGTTATGTGGAGGATGTGGGGGCTCCATTTCTAGGAATGGGCGTTTGTGTTTATGACTCTAGTTCTACGATGCTGCAGAGGCAGAGCTCTCTGTTCCTTTGAGAAATGAAAATACCTGGACAAGGTCAGTTTCAGGTGAGCAGTCACTATGCTGCCAAGTCTAGGACTGGATGCCTTCTTGCCCCATATGTCCTGGCAGGTGATCAGGGAGGCTTCCTTGACCCCTCTGACTTCCCAGTACCCCAACAACCTTCTCTTGCTCTTCGGGGCCCTGCAAAGAATAGGGTGGGGCTTCTAGCCCCATGCTTGTCAAACATCTTCAGACCTGAAATAGACCTGGAATAGACTGCCAGTCCATAGGCTCCAATCAGGTATAAGGTTGGAGTTCGTGGCTGGGAAACCCAGGGATTGCCTCAGGAATTAGCCTCTATATTGGGGACCCCACTCTTACTCCTAAAGGTTAAAGGATAGGGAAACTGAGGGGGGGGGGCAACTGAGAGGAGACTTTGAAAGTTCTTTGATGTCATCAGTGAAAGGAAAACGAATACAACAATCCCAGCTTCTTACATTTAATGCCCTTAAATCCTCCCTTCCCCTCCCAACCACATACAATTATACACCTAAGTCACACAATGTAAACCATCCCGCTTAATCTTTCTCCAGACCTCCCTCCCCATCAGCACAGAGTCACACACCAAGAAATGCACTTCCTGGGAAAAACTTAAATTGAAAGACATAAGAGTCACACAAAGACTTTCCTGCCCCTCACTGTTACCTGTAGTTGTTGTTGTGTTGCCTAGAGTGAAGAACCCTAATTTCATGATTTACAAACCAGCCTGGGTTCACTTGGGTCCGATTAGTTTTAGTGACTTAACCCACAATTCCAGAATAGGTGTGTATCTGAGATGGGGTGGTGGAACCTGTGTGCAAACCGAGGGTAGTGTGTAGGAACTCCAAGAGCTCATAGGTCTGGAGCATTTGAGTGGGGTGTCCTTGAAGGCGTTGCTCACGCCTGTATGTGCGTCTGTTGGACTCGTGTTCATGGACACCTACATTGTGCACCCCTCTGGGCCTGCATTTAGGTGCGTGGGTAACCGAAAAGTCCTCTTTTTGAGTAACTTTCTTGGCACCAGGAAGAGTGTGTGACCTATAGTGTGTCCACTTCTCAAACCAAACCAGGCCTCTGGGAGAGTGCCAAGGCGAGGCTGCCAGAGGGAGATACAGGCGATGGGGCAGAAGAAAGAGCCGGGGAAGGCTAAGGGCTGGCCTCATCGCTACCCCACCGCGCCTGGTCCGGGACAGCGGCGGCGAGAATGCCGGGCGACAGTGGAGTTGGGAGCGAGGTCTGAGGCGGCGAGAATGCCGGGCGACAGTGGAGTTGGGAGCGAGGTCTGAGGCGCCAGGGAAGGGAACTGCGCGCTCTGGGCCTACCGTGTCTTCAATTCTTTTTCTGAACGCTGGTAGCGGTGACTGCACAGTCACTTTCGGCAAGGATCCTGCAAGCAACGCCAGGTGGCACCTGAGGTGAGAAACCCTGCGCCTCACCGCTCGGGCTCCAGGAGTTCGTGGGGGCAGCGTGCGTGAGGGGGCTCAGTGCCCAGCTTCCAGCTCCCCAGGGTTCTTGGACATGCTCCCCAGGGACCCTCAAGCCAGAGATACAGGCTCCAGGAAGGCCCAGGAGGCCCAGGCCTGGCTGAATCCCACTCACCTTGTGGCTAGCTTCCTGTCGTCCGGGCTGGGGTTCAATTTGAGGGACCCCAGAATGGCCTTTTTGCCTTCCTCTCTCGGGCTGAAGAGGTTCAAGGAGCATTCACAACCCTCAGGCGTAGCCTCCAGCACCAGCGCGCTTCCAACTATAGCAAGGATTACATTTTCTTGGGCCCCTCGGTGGTCAAGCCGAGAACTCTGCGCTTCAGAGGCCCGATGGGCCCGTCTCTTCTCGCCAAGGGGTGGGAGGACGGGCGGGCGCTCGTTCTCGGTGGCCTGTCACTCGCGGTGGGCACCCTCTGTCCCTATGGGTTCGCAACCTGCGCAAGGTCTGACTGCGCGACTTGTCTGCTCAGCCGCTCCGTCCCTCGCTCATCCCCCACCCACCTCCCCACCCCGCCCTGGGTCCAGTTCTTTCCAACCTCTTCGAAGGAGGACAGAAACGTCTAGATCAGGGCATTAGAAAGGGAAGATCAGGCTGTGGCTGAAATGGTGGTCGTGGTCGGCGAAATCCGGCACGTTTCCCCAGCTTGGAGGGACAGACTTCTTGGCGGATCTGAGCGCGCTCAACTCAAGGCTGCGCGCAGAGTCTCCTGCAGCTAGCATCGGAACCTGGGGAGAGGGTGTGGGAAATAAGAATGTAGGAGTGCTGGATTTTAAGTTCCTTAGAAGTCCCTGATGAATGCACTGTCCTATTTAAAAAAAAAAAAAAAATTAAGGAAGAGTGCCAGCGGGGCGGGAAGAGCCAAGGACTCCAGAGGTAACCGGGGTTGAAGGAAAGAAAAAGCGCCCTCTCTGCTGTAAAGGCTGCCCGCCCAGCGCCCCTCCACAACAAACGCCCGGAGCTGGCGAAGGGCGGCCCAGTGCTGCGCGTCCGCGCGGCAGGGAAGGCGAGTATTTTCTGGGTGCGGGCCCATCCGGGACCCGCCTGTGGAGCGCGCGGTAAGACTGGCGCCGCCACCTCCGGCCTCTTGCTCCAGGGCGCCAGAGTCTCCTCCTCCATCAGGTAGCGCTGGAGGGAGGAAAAGATCTTTGGATTTTGATTACAAGACCCTGGATAGTAACGGGCTGTTTTCTGCTGTTTCGTTTCGTTTTGCCTTAACCATAGTTGCTTAGAAAACGCTCAACAGGAACATAGGAACCTGCGTGGTGGGGGAAATCCGGGCAAACCCAGCAGATCTAAAAGCACGTGAGGGTAGGCAAGATTATCGAGAGTGGTTTTCTGACATTTTTGGACAGGTTAACATAGTCAGAGCCCAAAAATTTCAGATCTGCCTAAAAATGATTGGACTTGCAGAGTCTATAAGATGCAGCAGAGGAAAAGGTACGGGATTGGGATTTGCAGGAGTTTGTAACAGCGCAGATCAGACCCTGGCTTTCATTCCCTCCCCCCCGCCCCCCCCCAAAAAAAAACAAGAGTCCATCAGGGACCGGGAAGCCAGGGGTTAAGGTCGGCCCAGGAGCCTAGCGGAGAAGCCGGAGCGCCGAGCCTTGGCCGGAGCCTCAGTCTCTCCCCTCCTCTCATTGGCCCGGGCTCTCAGGGTTTCTCCTGTTCTCTCCTCGCCATTGGTCGGGGGCTGGCTTTTTTTCCCCTCGGTCTTTCTCTTCCTCCCCCCTCCCCGTCCCTTGCCCCTTGGACGGTAGCTCACCGCCTGCCCCTAGCTCCTCGGGAAGGGAGGAATTTAGGGGAAAAAAAAAAAAAAGTTTCCCAGAAGTTTGGATCAGAGGAGGAACTGGAGGACCAAGAGAGGAAGAGGGAGAGGGAGGAGAGAAAAAGAGAGGGAGGAGAGAGAGAGAATAAAAAAAGATGAAGTCCAGTCGGCACAGCCTGTGAGCGCTTGCCCGGGTGGGTGGGAAGCGGGATTCCAGCGCTCCTGCAGCGAGCGGGCGGCGCTCCCGGCGCTGGTTCCTAGCAGCAGGGGCAGCTGGGGGCGCCCGTCCGAGCTGGCGGCGGAGGGCGGGGGAGGGCACAGGAGGAGGGTGCAGAGGACCTGCGGAGCTGCCGCCTCGGCCTCGGCCGCCGCGCAGCCGCCTTTCCGGGGCCCAGCCCCGCGGGCGCTCGGAGCGTGAGGGCGTGGGCTGCTGAGGAGTAGCGGAGCGAGCGGGGGCCAGGGTGCGGGCGGCTAAGATGAGTGAAAGGAGAAGATCTGCAGTCGCCCTGAGCTCGCGAGCACATGCCTTCTCCGTTGAAGCCTTGATCGGCTCAAATAAAAAGCGGAAACTGCGAGACTGGGAGGAGAAGGGGCTGGACCTGTCCATGGAGGCGCTGAGCCCCGCGGGCCCACTCGGAGACACCGAGGACGCGGCCGCGCACTGCCTGGAGCCCCACCCGGGTGAGTGCGTCGGGCTGGACCGCCAAGGCGGGCGGACTGGGGACACGGGGCGGCTAGCCGGCGGGCGGAGTGGCAAGGAGGGAGGCCCTGACCGCTGACGCCCTGCGCTACTCCAACGCGGGTTCCCTTTTCTTCTTGCAAATGCCTTGAACCTCCCTAAATTCGCTGGAACCAATTTAGGGGACTAGTCTGATCCTTGCATTTTCGTCGCCAACGTCAAGCAAAGAAGCCTGTTGGTGCCCGCAGTTGAAGAGCAGCAGGCCCCTGGGGGTTAGGAGGGCACGTGGGTAGAAGGCAACGGCCGGGAGCGGAGGGAAGCCGAGACTGGCTTCCTAGAGCTCCCGCCTGACTGGCGAGGTTTTCTGCCCCAAACACTTCTGTCTCGGGAAATGCCCACTTTGTCCCATTTAGCCTCCAGCCTGGGTGCTTCCCTTCCCCCACCAACTTTTCTGGGACTCAAGTTGTGTTTCCCCTATTCCTGGAGACAGAAAGCATAATTATATTTCTATTCTTTTGGGGTTTGTGGAAACAAGAATGGATGTTAGACTCTTATTCTGTGCCTTGAGTCATTCTTCAGGACCTGCATCTCTGTGTGTATTTGGGGAGCCGGACATGCGCTTAATTTGTATCTCGGATCTCTGCGCGTTCTGGGCATGTTATGGACACACAACACATAAAACATAGGGCAGATGTCGATGTCTGTATTTTAATAGAACCCCGGGAGGGGGCAATTTAACGTTTCCTATTAAGTGCCAGGATTTCAACTGTGCAAAACAGCCCGGGGTAACAGCTGTTGTCAGAAGAATCTTGCGCGCGCGCAAACGCGACTCTCGCAGCTTGCTTTGACGGCTTCAGAAACGTTCCAGCCCCGGCCTCTTTAAAACTACACTGGAGGTGCTCCTGCCCACCAGCCAGGGCTGGGACGTAGACTACGATCCACACGCGGGCAAATCCAGGGAAGGGGTGGCGTCCCGCACAGCGGTGGGGCGGCCGCAGGATCGAGAGCTTGGGGACAGAGCTCCGGATCCTGGCCGTAAAAGCCAGCCGACCCGAGGAAGGACAGCTGTCGCTTACATTTTCTCTTTAGGCAGTGACAGTTCAATTTCCATGCTCCTGAGGCTAATAATAACGCGATTAGCGGGTGACCTGCAGAGACAGGGTTTTAGAAATTCTCCGTGTTCTTGTGTCCCGTTACGGTATTTGAGTTTAGTGTTGGGGAGTTATTTTTATTAGTCGATGAAAAGAAAATTAAAAAGAGATTTATTTCGTCAGTTCAAGTCTTTCCCTGTATTTGGATGGGGTGCCTGTCCACGCAGGAACCGTGGCGAATGTTTGTTTCCCTTCTTTCGCCAGACCCCATTTCCTCACCACATTTATCTGTTGTAAAAATCTCGCTAGGGCCTTCACACTCAGTGGACGTTCTTCCAGGCCTTATGACAAATCACGATTTGGGAGGGTCGTTTATTTTCTCGAGATGGCGGAAATGGTACAACTTATTTAGCTGCGCGTGGCAGACGCACTGTCCGCGGGAACGTTTCACTTGGGAGTCCCCAGGTTGCCCAGAGCTCTTCTGTGGTCTCATGTTCAAAAGAGCCAACACTCGGTGTCATAATCAGGAACTCAGCTAGCAGTTTTCTCTCTGCTGTTTTTGGAAGGAGTTATGTGAAGGATTCCGGGCAGGGAGAGACCAGTCCAGGGGCTATGAACGCGTATTCTAGTCTGCAGAATCCTCTTCACACGCTCCCACCGGCTGGTAGTGGTGGTGGAGGACCTGACATGGAAGAACTTTACATAACAGAGAGTTCTGTTTTCTGTTCCCATTACCTATAATAATAATAATAAAAAAGAAAACCCATTGCCGTCGAGTCGATTCCGACCCATAGCGACCCCTGTCACTTTTAAAAAAAAATTTTTAAGGCAAAGGTGGGCGTTTGAATTAGAAAGGAAACGAAATATTTTATGGGGCAAGGGCCCGGGAGAAGAAAGAAGCCTACAGACGAGAGCATTCGCAGGCCTTCTGCGGAGCCCGGCTACACGGGTCAGGCCTGGCGACCCGTGGGCTGAGGCGATCCCCAAGTTGGAGCCCCATAGTGGCCGAGGCTTTCTTACGATCCTGGACACAGATCGAGAAAAGATCTTTCAGGGAAATGGCACAGCAGCGTGGAGACTTGGCTGTCTCAGGAGCTGAGGAGGAGCTGCGGGATCCTTCCCCGGCAGCGCGTTGCACCGGGTCTTGGGGGTCCCCTTTAGGCCTTTCTTCCTTTTCCCCTCTAACATAGCACCCTAACAAACACAAGGCTCCACTTAAAGGTGTGTGTATGGGTGGGGGGACTCAGGCGACCCCATTGGGGCCGCGTCTCAGCCCCGTTGGGCCTCAAGATTTTGTTTAAACTGGCTTCTCTCCGTTAGGACTGCGAGGGGATTGGAGCCGCCGCGTGCCTTTCCCACCCTAGGCTGATAAGCAGACAGGAAAAGGAAAAACACAACAACAACAAAAACTGCCGCGGGACCGGGGAGGGATTAAGCACAAACGCGCACATGTTCACAGGACACTGGCTTAGAGCAACTGTATTTAGCATTCTCACCATCACCTCTCTGACTAGTACCCCCCCGCCGTTTTCAGCCCCCACTGACTGCTAGAGCCACAAATTCCAGGGATCCTCAGACGTCCCAAGGGTCAGATTTTGCTAATGTTTTGCTTTTATTCGAAGACGCAGCCTTTTGTTTATTCACAGGCCGTTTCTCTTTCCGAGTCAGGACTGGGCTGGCTTTAATAGGTTCCCGAGCGCCCGCAGCCTGGGGCGCCAACCTGCAGCAGCGGGGGACCAGCCCGGCCGGAGAACTGTAGGCATTCACACGTCAGAGGGCACACAGTATGTATGTATTTCGAAATTTTCCACCGAGTCTAGTGGCCCGGAAAAACCCCGAGGCCCTCCCGGTTTTGGAGACGGGCCTGTGTAGCGCCCTCACTATCACTCCCACGAATACACTCTGTGTCTTATGGAGAAACCGCCAGGACTCAGTCACCGCGGGCTAGGGAGGGTCTCAACATTCATCTCCAAGGAGCCAGGCTGTCGGGCCTGCTCGCCCCCGCCTCACTCCAAGCAGCAACAGAGGAAACTTTCGACCTGCATTGTCCAGAACAGCTGCTTCGGCTGCGGCCTTGGAAGTATATTTCAGGCACGCGGCGGCGCCATCTGCGCTCGGACCCCGGCCCCGGCCCCTGCTCCACCCGGCTTCCCCAGCTCTGGGTTGGACCTTTCCCGCCCAAATCCCCAGCCGAGAGCGGCCAAGGCCCGGTCTCCCGCGGCGCGAAATAATTCAAACCTTCTGTGGAAGGATTTTCCTCTCCAGAGTTCGCGGCCGTGAGTCCGGCAGCCGAGGCGCGCCGAAGGCCTGGGGAGGTGGCGGCGCGCGCTGGTGGGCACACTCAGGCAGGCAGAGCCAAGAACATATGGGCAGATCGACACTCAGCGCTCACGTCCACACGCGTCCAGCGCTCGCACCCTCGGGTACACCCACCCGCGTAACGCCTAGTGAAACTAGGAATAAAAGCCCGGGCAGAAACCTCGGTTACTCCAGGCCACTTTCTTCTTTCTTTTTTCGAGTTATCGAGATCAACTTGTTTCTCGAATTGATCTGCCAGTTTGTGGTTTATTTGCTCAGAGTGAAACACCGAGATTTTAATCGTAACATCACCCCTCTACCCGCCCCCAGCACCCAATAGGAGAACACAGGGTGAAAACGGAGGATGTAACTCTTACTGATATTTACATAACTGAGAAAAAATTGAGCTTGAAGGCAGTGGGGAGAATCTGCTTGTGCGGGGCAGGCACAAGCCAGGGCTCAGATGGCAGTGCCAGGGTGTGCGGCGCGCAGGACCGAGACGCCCAAAGGTCTGCCTGGGGTAGGGTCCCGGGTGAGAACCCCGGTCCCAAAGTGGCACCCGTCAGTGCGTGCACCCCTGCACCAGTGCAGGCCTCGAGAGTGGAGAGCCAAGTGCGGGGGGCCTGTTGGACGTGCTCAAGACTCCTGCCTGTCAGGCCAAAACGGACTTTCGCAGAGGTGGCTCCTTGGTAAGTGACCTTGTGTGAAGGGAGGAGGGGGAGGAGGGGAGGTTAGCTCTGAATCTGTCATCGACGGGTGAGGATGGTTTTTCTCTCAGAGATGACTGCCAGGCGCCTTTTTCGCGCTGTGGTCGGACGGCGGCGAAATCAGACACCCTCGGGGTGCACGGATCTGGTAGAGAGCACAGCAGGGGCTCTCGGGCTGTAGGGAAGCGTTGTGGAGACGTCCTGTGTAAAACTTCGGCCCTGGAGCGTTGGCACAATAGAAGCCCATAGGAAGAGGGAGGGAATTCTAACCGGCTCCATCTCTTAGAAATGACAACAGCAAACTGCTCGAGGGAGGAGCGTGGGAGGAGGGATCCTGATGCTCAGAATGTGGGCTACGGTTTGCACTTCCGAAGGCTCCCGTCCGCCCCACGCTACAGAAACCCATGTGATGCGCGTGGAAGGCACCGGGTAGCAGGAGAGCGAAGCGGCGGGAAACCGCCTCTCTTTCGCTGGGGCAGGAGGCAAGCTCCACCGCCCACTTCTGCACCTGGGAGAATATTCTGACGCACGCAGGCCTAACGCGCGGCGAAGAAAGAGCTGCGCTGTCTGGAATAGAGCAATGCACAGAGCTTGGGCGCAGCGATTCCGATTTCTGATCTTGCACACCCCATCCAACGCTATTTTCTTAGTGAACACTATATTTGGGCTCAGAGCTAGCCACTTTGGGTTTCGGATTTTGTAAGGAAAATTCCGAGAAAGAAATGTTCATGGGGCGACCTTCACGCAGGGACGAAGGGGGAATTAAATTTCGGTGGACTTTAACTCCACTTCCAGTGGAATCTGGCTTGAAATTATACAGAAACAGACCGCTGCCGTTTTCCTGACACTTCCCCCTCCATACCAAATACTTCAAATGGTATTTTTTAAACATGTTTTAATTATTAT